CTCCATCCTACTCTATCTCTTGCTAAGTTCACTAAGTTGGTAAAATCATCTTCATTTTTCAAATAAATTTGTCTCTTAAATAGGTCTTTTTTCACAATAATATCATACAAATTAGTCCTGTGTCTACCCACTCGTCCCTTTAGTGTTTGACATCCTAGTGTAGCAAATAACATAGACTGGTAGGCAGGCGTGTCGTTGTCACTGCGTAGAACATGACATAGCATTGTCCACCGTGCCTTTTCCACTCTCTCGGAAAGGGGCCTGGTCTGGGTACGAGCGTAGAGGGCCTTGTTAGATATTGAGCTAGGCCAATAGATGTGTAAACCTCATATACATACTGTTATCAATCTACCTTTTTAATTGTTCGTATTGCGTCCAAAAATACACCTACTCAGATCAATTTCATACCCAAAGGGCCTTTTCACAAGAATTTTCTTAAAATTTGGGCGAGCGATTTAGTAGGACTAGGAGCGATTGATTCGTGATAAAAGGGACAGTTACAATATTCGAGTATGACTATGAGTGTTGTGCCTTATAACCTGCCTACCTAGCTCATAGGCTTCTTCCAACCTGTACACCCGCTAGCTAAAAGCTTTTTTCGAGGAAATTGAAAATCTATAATGTTACATAGTTTTTTCGTTATCATCTATGATCTAGGCTCTAGCTCCGTAACATAAATTGCATGGATTTTTATTTGCCAATGATGAAAAAGGTTTAAGTATTGTCTAATCGATACTTGTTACTGCATCAAAAAACATCAATCACAACCAAAGTTATGGATAATAGTCATTGTTGTTGGGGACTGGCCCGTGGTACCAGCCAATGTTTACTCAAAAAATATATATAACATCAATGGTAATATGGTAATAAGAAATTCATCCCCGTGGGGCACATGCATAAATATAAAAGTTTAAAGGAAATCTCAAACTATTCAGTTTAGACTCTACCGGTAAAGTATGCAAGGAAGGTTTATAACTTAAAGTTTTATTTTCCAATGGTTAGTAGGTAAAGATTAAAAAAGTAAAACAAGACTGAGCACTTCAAAATTTGTAGAATTTGTAACTTGATTTGTAATACGCGGCGATAATAAAAAAATGTCCAATGTTGGCAGTGTAATTTATGAGATATGCGACGTTTATTGAGTGATGCATAAGTGTGTGCATATAATCTAAGATGTAGAGACAAGGTTATTATCGGCATTTTGGTTTATGTTACGCTTTGATTTTCTTAGTCCTGTTATACAAAATAACATGAAATTAGGCCATTCGTCTTCGATGTTTTCATTTTGCTGATCGATGAGCATAGTTTTTATACAAGTTTTGTAAATGTTCAGGTTAAATAGACTAGGCGGGGAAGTTGCTGCAACATTATATCGGTTTATTGCTAATAATGGACCTTTAAAAAATACTGAGTTGTTGTAAGGGTGTTGACCATACTTTTCTGACCATTGTGTAGTGAGAATAGAATCCGGGTTAGTATCAAATAATGGTGCGCTTTTGGGAATTGTTTTCTTGAGAGACAATGGTACTAGATTAGGAAAGTTTTTCAATTTATGCATTAAAATGAGTGCGTTCTTTACAATGATACTGTGTACTGTCAAAATTTTATGTGAATAAAAGCCAGACTTGGTACTTGCTGGGGGGATACCGTCCTTGTACCAGTAATTGACGAAACCAGGTAATACTGCTCGAAGGCCCATTTTCTGTTTTACAAAAAGTGATTCAATATGAGACTTGGCAGCAAAACCCCATACAAGGCTGCAATAATTAAGGTGTGACTGCACAAAACTTTGATAAATTTGAAGACGTGCTTCGAGAGGCAGATATTTTTTAAGTTTGTACATGACTCCTATGTATCTGGACATTTTCATTTTCATGGCAGAGATATGATGGGACCAGTTTAGTTTATCATCTATTATAACTCCTAAAAAACGGGCTTCTGTTTTCCTCTCAATTGTGACACCAGAAATTGCCACATCACGATAATTAAGATTTCTTTGTCGAGAGAAGATCATATAATTTGTTTTCTTAAGGTTGAGAGCTAAACCATTATTATCTACCCACTTAACTAAAGCATCGCTAAGAGTTATTAGTTTATCGTAAACTTCATTAAGATTTTCTCCTATCAGGAAGATGTTGGCATCATCTGCGTACATAATGAAATTGGCTATATCTGATATTTGAGGCAGGTCGTTTATGTAGATTATAAAGAGTAAAGGTCCTAATATTGACCCTTGAGGCACGCCGTATAAAATTTGGTTGGTTGAGGATTTTGACGAGCCAATTGATACAAACTGTTTCCTGTTAGTGAGATATGACTTAAACCAGTTTAAGGCTTGACCCCTTATGCCGTAATGGTCCAGCTTGCGCAAGAGTATGGAATGATCCACAAGGTCGAAAGCTTTGCTGAAGTCGATTAAAAGAAGTAAAGTTACCTGCTTTTTAGACATTGAATTAAGAATGGTGTCTTTTGCGTTGAGAAGAGCATGTTCGCAAGACCTACCCGGGCGAAAACCGTATTGGTTTTCACATAGTATGCTGTATTTATCTAAGAAACTTATAACTCTGTTATGCATTAGCTTTTCAAATACTTTAGAGAAAGAAGCAAGAAGAGATATTGGTCTGTAATTTTTTATGTCAGATTTAGATCCACCTTTGTGAATTGGGACCACCTTCGCTTCTTTCAAAGCCTGTGGAAAGATCCCCTGTTCAAAAGAACTGTTGACAACGTGGGCTAGTACACTAGTAAAACTGGGACAACTGTTAGCGATTTTTGGAGGTTCAATTTTAGTGTCTAGTGTGGCTTTATTCTTAAGCAGGTTTATGACGTCCTGAATTTCTGTGGCAGTGACTGGCTTTAAGTAAATACTACTTGGAGTGGCGTTGCAGAGTGTGCTATGGGTTCCACCAGGATCAAAAGTGGTCCTACTACTAATTTCAGACTTAATTTTTGGAGCGATGTTTGAGAAGTAATCGTTAAATTTTTCTGCTACAGCTGCCGGAGTGCTGATTGAGCCGTTTTCGTCAGTCAGTTTTATTGTAGTAGGTTTAGATTTTTTGCTATTTAGAAGACTGTTTATCATTTGCCACTGCTTCTTAGAATTTTCTTTGTTTTGCTCAAAAAATTTTTTGAAGTGCTTGTTTTTAGCTTTATCGATGTGTTTATTACAAAACTTCTTCAGACGGTCATATTTACTGCGGTTACTATCAGATGGTTCCTTAACAAAATCATAATATGACTCATTTTTACGTTCTATAGCTTCTTCGAGCCAGGGCAGCATCCATGGTTTCGGATTAACACGTTCATTTTGTCTTCGTGATTGTCTTTTTGTAGGATAGGCAGACTCGTAAATCTTATTATAAGCCGTATTTAAATTATTGAACTGTTCGTTGGCATCATTGGTATTGTTAAAAATTTCAGACCAACTTTCATTTATAATTAAGTCTCTGAATTTTTGATTGTTGGTGTCGTTAAATCTGCGTGTTTCAGTTTGAGATACATTTTGTGAGTTAGACGCAGAGCGGTAGCTGCTGGTTGGCGTGTTATCAAGATTTATTGTAGTGACTATTGCTAAGTGATCAGACATATCTGTCGTTAAGACGTTACAGCTTATTGTATCCTCAAGATTGTTTGTGTAGATGTGGTCAATAAGCGTGGCACTATGGTCCGTTAGGCGAGTTGGGCGTGATACAATTTGAATAAAACCGTAAGAGGACGCAATATCTATAATGTTCTGACATGCTTGGTCGCTGCTGTGCTTCAGTAAATCAAGGTTGAAATCTCCATGAAGCGTCATATGTTTACGGGTGTGTCTCCCTAGGTTGTGCAGCGTATTTTTGAAAATTTCTAGAAACGCTTCAGGTCTCCTAGCGGGAGAACGGTAAACATTGCCAATTATTTTCGTTCTGTTGTATCCTTTGCACTGATGGAGCTTGATAAATTGGAATTCGCCACTAGTATTAGTTGGTTCAGGGTTTGGAGTGAAAATATCAATTTTATCATAATCGACTACACGTTTGTGTACATAAGTGGCTAGCCCCCCACCTTTTCCAGATGGTCGAATTGGATCCTGGATAAATGGTTCATGAAATCCATCTAAGGTAACGTCGTTTATTCCGTTTGGTAATTTCCCTAAAGTGCAATTAGTTTCGTTAAAACACAATATATCATACTTATCATAAGTCTCAATATCATCACGTAGTTGATCTATATTCTTAATAAGGGATCTTATGTTCATAGAAAATGTTTTAAGTTGAGAGCAGGTAGATTTTTTTACGTTACGTTGTTGTTTGTACTGACAACTTGTTAGGAAAGATGAAATATTGCTCCAAGTTGAATCTTGATGCTCTTCGTTGGTCAAGGTGTCGCCAATAAGATTAAATCGACTATTCTGATCGTACGGATTGAATATGTCACTATTAAGTTTACTGTAGTCGTCATAGATTTCATAGTAGGTTGCGTGAAATCCAGGAATGATACTTTCACAGCAACTCGTACAGCCTAAATTATCCTTAAAACATTTGACATGGACATTACTTTGGCACCATGAGCATGTGCGAATATTTCTAATAGAGTAACACCAGCCGCTGCAGCTTGAACATTTGATCTTGACTTTGTTTTCAGATGTAACAGTGGGTTCCATTTATAACTAAATATTATGATTATGATACTGATAGTATATAAAACTATAGTTCAAATCAGATTCTTTCACGAGAACCGGAGGTCCTGTATGCTACAGAATCGTGATATGATTTAAAAGTCAATTATATTATTTTAAGCTAAAATCGGATAATTAAGTGAGATAAAGTGTCCTTATCTAGGGCCTTATCAGTATGATTTAAATAACTGATTTGGCTAAAAAATAGAAATCGAATAAAGTGGTTGCTTTTGTGTTGTGTAGTTTTGTGAGGTGTTATTTGTATTTGATTTGTTTGTAGCGTTTACGTAATAAGGGACTATCGCACTGAACTTGAGTAATACTGAAGAGAACGTACTTGATTATTCATTGATTTGTATGTGTATTTTGAATGTTGTATAGAGTTATGAAATCTCGTTGATTTAGGATGATACAGATTTGTAGAGTAAGATGTTTTGTGTGCGATCGGGTGATAAGAGATACTGATAATGGATGAGCTTATCAGATAATGAGAAAAATTCCACCAATCAGATCATTTCATTATATGATCGATCTTGGTAACGATCTGTTAAAGGTGGACTGGAAGTTGAGAAAAAATTGTATCGTATTTTTTAATCAGAATGGTATCAATGATTTGTAAAGCGCTCAGCTTCGGTTATATCTGGAGAGACTGTTAGGCTTGTGGTGATAGAGCCACTCACAGTTCCTGTGACGTCTCTGTTCAGATCCACACAACTTGCCAACGCAGTTAACAAGTTCATGTGCCACTACCCTTTGCACCTCGTGATATAAGTGGATGCCATGTCTGTCGTTGCGGTCCCATACGTAGTATGAGTTAACACGCTTGATCACGGCATGGGCATCGAAAAAACTCAGATTTGGAATATCCTTAGCCAGGTTCAACATCATGATATTAAAAGCGTCAATCTCTGCATTCAACCAGTTAAATTTAGTCATAGATAAAGCACAAAACATAAACTCGGTATTCTTGTTATTGTTACAAGAGTCTATAAAACGGGGACAGAAATTGTCCGCAAGACTCTTGGCCGACTGCCCATACCTAGCTAGGTCATTAATACCGCAGGAAAGTACGACTGCTTTAGAATGTTTGAACTCATGTTGATGTTCCAGTGAGTTTACTAGTTGATAGTTAAGGCGCTTTTGACATCGGTGGCCAGGTATCTGGTCGAACAGCCATTCTGGCGTTTCTCGGTGTATTGAGTCGTGAATAAAGAGGACTCTGGAGTGACGGGACGTTGGTGACTGTTTCTGTGTAGGTGGTGCAACAGGCGGGACTCGAGTAGGGGCTGCAGGTGCTGGCAAGGCCGTGGGATCAGGCTGTTTCAACTTGCGAAGAGTGAGCGAGATTCGTGGCTGCCTTAACATAGGATCACGTTCAATGCCGTGCTGCCAGTGGTTCTGATCAGATCGAGACATTGCAAAGACAGAGCCGTGCTCAAGCGGGATGCTATGCTCAACGAAAGGGCCTGTCGACGTTGACATTCTCATAATTCTGGTAGAGCCAAATGATGCAGTGTAAATCAGACTATCTTCTACAATGCTGGATTCGCTGTCACTATGCAATGGAATACCAACTGACCCGTCCTTATAGTAAGTACAGAGGCAGGTGTAGTTCGTGTGAGTAATGTCAGGATCGGATTCATGCAAACAATCAAAAATGCGCTTTAGGACAGGTGGCAAGGGCGTATCATGGGATGCACGGTGGTTGGTTCTGCCATAACTGTAAGGTACCGAGCCAAAATATGACGTTGAACGGCCCCCCGGGTGTTTCATGTTAAAGTCAAGCTCGCGGTAGATTTCATCAAAAGAAAGATCACCAAAGTCACAGTCCAAAAATCTTACCGGAGGTGGTGGGTTAGGTATACTTTCTACTTCACCGGAAGGGGAGAGAGTCTGTGGAGAACTACTGCTAGCTGCTTCAACGATGAGAGAGGTCTGCTTCCTGGACTCTTCAGAGACTTCCTGGATCGCAGTGCAGGCTCGTTCCGTGATGCTGTTGACCGCCTTCTCAACCTCTTCATTAACGGTACATGAAATGAGTTTTAGACTCGCAGTTAATTTGTTCATTGTCTCGTCAGCGTCTAGGGCACATTGGCCTAATAAATGTTTCCTTAAAAAAGAAATTTTGTTGTCCGTTGTGCTTGCTTTAGTAGCACTTTTCGAAAGGAGGCGGAGTCTTTCGAACTCAAAATCTAAATCGGGAGCAGGCAGTAAGCTTAACAAGTGAAGGCATGTTGTTGCTGCAAACGTGTAATTCCCTGACACCCCAAGCCCCAACATACCGGTAGAAGGTGCTTCTGGGTCAGCGATTGACTCAGAAGCAGCTTTAGAAGGTAGTTTCTTCCTCTGGGATGATGTAGGTGTAGAGGTATTAGGTGTAGAAGATCCAGAATTTCGTCGCGACATGATCAGTATAAATCACAAGCTCAGTGCGATAAGAAAAGGTAGATTACAGAGGAAAAATATTGATGCGTAATGAAAGTAGTAAAATGATTAAGTAGTCATAGCGTAATTGTAATGTGAGCTAGTTAGCTAGTTATGACGCACTTATGAGGCAGGTTATAAAGCACTGCGACGCGCGTTGCTAACCTGTGTTATACTGTGGTTGCTCGCGCACGTGTAATCTCTTGATGTTGCTACGCAACGACGTAGTTAAACTTTGATAAAAAAGTGCCATTATTCTAACGTTTATTTTACCCCACTTCCGACGTTAATAATTACTCAAAATCTAAAGCCTTAATCGAAACTCTAAGAATACTATCTCCTATTCCTGTCCTTTTTCTACATTCCTACTAGTACTAAAAATTGTAAGGTTTCGACTCCATTTGCGAGCTAAAATTGGGTACGCCAGAGGGTAATTCTTTGGTAAATTATCAGTGTTATCTACTTCTAGTCTTTCTTTTAAAGAAAATAATTATAATACTTGCATTCTAATATTTTTAAGATAATTAATAAATTACGACAACTTAAGTCGCGCTTTATCGACGAGAAAAACCGCTTGGGCGTCCAGCGTCCAATTTATGTCCGCTCAAACAAAATCCGATAAGGTAGCTCAGTTATACGCCCAAGCTATGACTTTTCATAATTTTGGTTAATGTGATCGATATTTTTGATGTGGTGAAATACTTGAAACTTTGTTGTCATTGTCAAATAAGGTCAAATAACATCCATACTTTCTACAGTGCTGAGCAAGATGAAGAGAAATTAAAACATATCTAATTTTAAATATCCTCCAGTAAAGCTTTCGACTAGCGCATTTCTAATTCTAATCTAATGTGAAAACTTTTCATAATACATTTCAGTCGAAGATAAGAACAGTCTGATAAGAATAGACAATCCAGAGCAAGAAGTTGGTAAGATGATTACTATGAATAGTAAACTTTACAGGGAAGTACAACTGTTAATACCACCTAAAAATGAAATGTTCACTGAGGGCGGTATTGTAAAGCTAGCTAGTAACATAGAAGCGATACATGTTAGAGAAGAAGAATTTAAAAACAAGTAATCAGAGAGGTTGTTTCAGCTGACTTTATCAGCAAGTTTATTGAACAGTACGACAGTAATACCGAGGAGGTGTATCGTAGAAACCTGACATATGTGCTGAGAAGAGTAGCTTATCTAGGAGATACAGCTGTAATAAGCTCACTGGTTAAAAGTGGTGTAATGAAACATTTAATAACAACATGGGAACATAGCACTGACAGTGAGGTTATGTTCAATATATCAGCTACTCTACTGTACAGTTGCATACGATAACGGTGATATCTCACATGTTGACCACCTTGTTGAGGAGGGAGTTCTAACCCTTATATCTAAACTACTACAGAAGTGGAGTAAAGATGACACTGTGATGGTTAAGTTACTTGGAACTTTACAGAACATTACCTGTATAGGGAGGATATCAAGGAGTTAATAGCTAACAGTACAGAGTACGGAAATATACCCGAACTAGTGACAAATATTTTCCAAACAAGCAGTAATGTGAAGGTACTGGAGAGCACTATTGGTTGTATTAGGAACATGTTACAAGGGAGCATGGCTTTACATGAGCACTTCTCCAACAAACAATTCATAGACACGTGTATCTCCCGGATCAGATCTGATGTGTTATCTTCTGAGTACAAAATCAAGATATTACGGTTTATTGTCACCACTCTCACATGCAACCACCCTGCTAAAGTTGCTGCATTGTTAGTTCCACACACACATTCTTTGAAGGAAATCGCCGAGTTAGACACTGACACTGAGTTATCTAGACTTGCTGCAGAGTTGATAAATACGTACTTAAGCTGTGGAGAAAAGCGACATAACTGTGTTTTGGTCAACACACTGTTTATATTAAATATCTTGAAATTTTTTGCTCTATATATTGTAGACATTGTTTTAGACATTAAAGTAGGGTTGAACTCTGTTAATGATGCTACTTTGAGCACACGGTATGAGGGTTATTGTTTACTTTTATTTAGTATTTTACCTTTGATTTATTTAAATTATCAATCTGTTTTACGGTATTACATTCAATGCTGGGGCATGATAACTGTCGATCCTGTGATATCTCTACAGGGATCAAACAGAGGACGAATAATGAAGTTCTTTTTCCCTTGGAGGTTTAACAGTGTAAAACACGCTATCTTGAACATTTTAACAGTATTACAGCTGCATCCCCTCATAAGAGCTTTTGAGCTGGTGTTTCATCGGAGTAAATTGCTGAGTACAATCATAGCTAATAAATTTCATTTTGGAAGACTCTCCACTCAAGAGAAGATTCTAGAGAATGTGCCCTGCACTCTTATCAAGGGTATCATTTTGTATAAATTTATCGACAACAACAAAAGTAATGTTGATTTTAGTTTGGGATCAGATGAATATGTTACCCTATTGTCAACTGTATATGGTATACTAACACTCTGCTATAAAGTAGCAAGGTTTGAAGAGTTGTGCCGGAGTGCAGACATTATTCTCCTGGAGCCCTCACGACATGTCAGAAACTAGTGTCGTTCATAGGAGTATTGCTCTCACTTAATTCACGACTCATCATGTGCCTTGTTCTATTCAGCGTGATGCGTGATAATGGAACTATGTGGATTTTTAACATCAGTGTATTGCTTCACATATTGATATCTTCTGCTACTCACTTACTATCTCATCACGAGTGGCAGTCTCCTTATGACTCTTCGGTAAAAAGAAAATTTGTGATAAAGGATTTTATTCTGAAAGAAGGCAGTAACAGAAACAGTAAACTTGTAATAATTGGACGATGCGCACTAGTGTTCTGTCTATCATGGAGTGAATCCTTTATAGTGAGCCTCCGACATCCTATAGATCTGGTGTCAGGACGTGTTCCAAGCACTTATCATTGAGATCAAGACGACAATTCTTCTTGATTTATGTGTTTCACCTGTTAGAAGTGATAACCGTCACGGTTTTAGCAAACACTCTCAACTCTAAACGATGGATAATGGATTTGGGGTATGTATCGCTGCTACTATTTCTCGTATCTGGTGCAATGTATATGCTGTACTTTACAGTTCTTAATCCAGACAAGACATCTAAATTATTGTCGGTTTCAATCAACCCCAGGTTGAAGCAGTTTGGATATAAATCCCAGGTGACCTAAAGCACTCAGATTTTGTCATGTAACTGAAAAAGCAACAAAGATAAACAGCACAAAAGTCTACTCATCCAATCAGTATAATTACAGACTCCAAGTTCTAGATCCCTGTTATGACTGCATGTTGGGTAGGGAACACACAGATAAAGATAAACCTGTTAGTCAGAGCAATTGCTGCTCACGATCAAGTTTTCTGAAGAATTTAGAAACTGTTTTACTCGACCATTTAATAGCAGTTACAGGAGACTCTCGCCCTCAATTAGTGATGCTGAGAATCTTGCTGAGAATCTTCAGTTGCGTCGTAAGGACGTGGATTTGCTCATTACTAAAGTGAGAAAGTACGACAATATTCATCTTTATCTGTTAGATCTATTTTCTGGTATTGAGAACATTGAAAAAGTGGACCCCAAGCTTATCTCGAGGTGTAGAGCGATTGGTTCAAATGTGTTCCGCAATATTGAACATATCAGAGACGATGAGTTGAGTCCTAATCTCGTACCAGCGTGCAACAAACTGAAAGGTAGAATAGAAAACAAGTACACTGATGCGACTGAAGGTGAAATTATCAATGACGAGCTGGTTGAACAGATCAGTAACCTCTGCGAAGAATACTTTTCCTTAAAAGAGCAGCAATGGGAAAATAAGGTTCTTGCCTGGTGTGAAACAGCTCCCACTGAGATTCTTACTAAATACCACTATGAAAATGGGGTTCAGCTCAATGTATAAAGGATATTGAGAAGTGGATAACAGAAAAAGAAAGACTTGCAGTATACTTGAACCCTTGTAATAATAACGCACCAAACCTTCCTGACACTACTATAGTGCTGTACGATGAGAAACACTCTAATTTCCACATCAACGGGGTTAAAACACCCTCAAAACACGGCTGGGTAACCAGAAAAGTTGCGGAACTGAGGAACTGTTACCATAGAAACAGGAGGAATTCTACATCAGGACAAACAGAGTATCAGCCTGTCGGACAAGATATTGTTACCATAGAAACAGGACAAGATATTGTTACCATAGAAACAGGACAAGATATTGTTAATTCAGCAGTTTAGCTTGTCAGTTTATACAATGTTTGAAGTTTATTGTTAATGTGATATTACTATTCTGGTACAATGTGGTCCGCCTTCTCCATTCTAACTAGATATTTACGAATAAGTATTTAGAAACTTACATCACCTTAATAATCCCAGAATGTGTGTTTTCTGTTCGTCTGTTCGTCTGTGTGCGTGTAATTTCCGAGCGGCTTAATCAAGAAAACGGTAAGAGTTACGGGGCTGGTTTTTTCGGTATAGTGCCGACAAAACTACGAGGAAGCCAAATGGTAAAGATTTTTTAAATCAGTCGGTGGTAAGTGGTTTAATTGATGGTTTTGTACCACAAATGTTACACAAAATGGCTTGAGCAGAACGGTAAGAGTTACGGGGCTCGCATATGTAGCTGCATAAATAGTGTAATTGGGTTACCCGGGTAAGATTCGGTGTCATATTATACTATAATCTTATTAGGTTATTAGGGGAGGGGCACTGTTTGGACTGCAAAGAGAGTTCATACTTTCATACGACAATGTTATGCGTGTTCACAAATATGATAGGCGGTTGTGGTGTTAAGGGTTAATTTCTATTGATTATTGTTTAAGATACTATTGTTTAAGATACCATTGGATACGTGAGGGCACTCCGAATAGAATTGCTCACCTAATGCAGGTTTTGACTCAACGGGTAAATACTCCTACCTATTCATTCTAACTAGATATTTACAATTAATAAGTATTTAGAAACTTACATAATCTCATATCCTCTGTCTTATATTCAATAACCACACCTTGAAGTTCGATTGTATAATCTATAAGTAATGATATTACTTTATCGGTAATAATTAGGTAATAATGATATAATTTTATTAGAAATGATGTTACTTTATCTCAGTAATTAATGATAATGATATAATTTTATTAGAAATGATGTTACTTTATTGATAATGATATTAATTTATTGGCACTTATATTACTTTATTAGTAATAACGTAACATCATTACTACATTATTGGTGTGCAGCAGTTTTAATTTATGATATGAACAGTGAATATCTCAGATGTACCCAGTACCCAAAACAATTTCCGCGTGCAAATGAACATTATTATGTTAATAACATTATTATGTTGATTACATTACTATGTTAATAACATTATTATGTTAATAACATTATTATGTTAATTACACTATTATGTTGATTACATTACTATGTTAATCACATTATTATGTTAATTACCCCTCTTGATGATGTATCTGGCTGGATGTTAAGACACGTGACTGAGATTGGTAATGCTGGAAGCTGATTGGTTAATCAATGTCACGTGTTAGACTCAATCTGTTTACCGCGTCTACATCTCTCCCAAGAGTGTTACTATGGTAACGCTACCATATAAGGTAATATTATGGTGGTATCCAGATCTCAGAGTTGAGTCCTGCTTTTATTTGGATCTATCGGCAACTTATTTCCCTTTTTGTCGATATGATCTATCTATAATATTATAAACATACCAATTATTTTGGTTAATTTGACCTGGGTACATCGCTTGCACCTTCTGAAATTCTTCCATCTATCCATCGATAGAAATCAAACTTATCTCTATAAATTTACCTTACGTTCGTTATGTCGCTTTTCTCCACGATTCTAATGTATTTACCAAATATATGTTCGTGATATGAGTGAACAGTGAATGTTACTGCTTTATTGTTGGTGTATACTGTGTATATTCAGTTG